TTAAAGGGGTCCCTACGGGACTGAAGCATCAGACCCACCTCAGAGGGGTGGGGGAAGAGGGGGAGACCTCCAGCTGGGTTGAGGGGAGCCGCATCTCCCCTCCCTGGCTTGGTATACTCCCCTGGAAGACAGGGAGAAGCGTCAGTTTTAATGGCTGCCCTGAAGACAGGAAGCTACTGGGACCTAGGTGTGGGCTGGAGAAGTGAAGTGGTGAGTGGCATGTATCCAGACAAGATAAGCTGAACCTTTTGTTTTAATAACCCCGAAAAGCAGAAAGAAAGATTCCTCGCTTGAGAGTACAACAGTGGCGAATAGAAAACAAGAGGACAATATAAAGTAAATAAAAGTCTGGACTACAAAAGAGCTATAACGAAATTAAGGATGCAATTGGGAATAATATACAGAACCTGGCATTAATTAGGCATTGGATAAAATGCTGAACTTGCTTGGAATTGATTGTATTTTTTTAAAAAAAGCTAATGGTTGAAATGCTTGAAAATTACCATTAATAAAATTGAAAAAAAGGGGGAAAAAAGAACTTTGAAAAGTGGAAGTGATATAGAGCACCACCTAATGGTACAAGGCATTTTTTCCTGGATGGCTTTATGGAAAATTACAGGTCTGTTAAATGTGTGAATGAGAAAAGACATGAAATAAAAGACTTTTACATAACAAGAAGCCCAGAAGCTTAAAAGAAAAAGGGGGAGATTGCAGTAAGAGGACAAAGGAAGGCAATATCTTGGGACTGTTGTGGGTTGACTGTGCAAAGGAAATAGAAGGACCATAAGAAAAAGAGATATAAACGTCTCTTGGCAAGGATTACAATTAACTTTAATAAGATAAAGAATAACATAATTGATAAAAAATGGAAGAAGCAAGCAAAGAATTTAAGTTGGAACTGCAAACAGTGAAAGAAATGATAAAAGAAAGAAGGGGTTTATTGAACACACTGGCAGAAAAAGTAATGCAATTTATAGCAGAACAAAGGAATTCTAGAGGGGCCAAAGAGGAAAACAGCCAAGATGGACATGAAGATTCAGAGACATTGCCAAAAGACAGAAAAGGAACTAAAACTAAGACATTGACGACACAGATAATAAATAAAAGAGAAAAAGCTCCCAAGAGTAAGCAAAAGAAGCTGTACAAGAAGAAATTTCAAAAAAGAAAAAAAGCAAGGGGGAGAGGAAAAATGGAGTGAGTGATATTAAGAGGGTTCTATTGTTATTAATCACACACACACACGTATGTATGTATGTATGGTATTCAGCTTTGTTCGGGTATTCTTCCACGTCATTGTAGTTGTGCTTTTAAAGTTGTAGCAACATTTCGGCAGAATCTCATCTGCCATCATCAGGCTTCTGTATAAGATTACTCTGAGAAGCACAGAGCAGAACACACAAGCCTGAAGATGATGAATGAGACTTCATCGAAACGTTGCCTAGATACTTCCAATCTTACGCGGGAGAAAACCCGAATAACCAAAGACCCACATACAAATACCTCAGAAAACAAAGATACACACACACACACACTAAAGTATGCTAATGACTATTTAAATATTAGGAAAACAGAGAATATAATGATGGGCGAAAATCTGGTATTATGTTTAAAAAGTGTGAATTAGGGTTATATAAATGCTATAGGTGGAAATTGGTTAAAAGGAAGTAAAAGGGGAAATTAACTCTGTTTTTTTTATTCTTATTTTTTTGTGGTATACATGAAATAGAAAATATAATTGATTATACAAAGGGTATGAGAAAATAGAAAATATAATGAACTAGAAGGGATTATGTGGGAATGTAAAATATTTATTATGAATGAATTATATTATAATCAAAAGCTGGGGAATGAAATGTTATTAAAATTATATAGGTAAATTTTAGAAACAAAGAAAAAACATGAAATGATTATATGAATATCTCTGGAATAGATATAAAATATATTGTAGATGGGGGATATACCATGTGGATCCTAAATGTATTAATCTTATTTTACTTTTACTCATTTCTTCTTTCATTGACTGTCTAATTTTAAATTGGTCTTGAGAAAGTTATAGATAACTATATATAAGGTAACATAAATAGGTGGTAAGCTGAAAATGGAAATAATAGGGGATAAATAATTAAAAATATATGTGAGGATGAAATGATTTTGATATTGAATTAATGAGTTGAAATATGAAAGGGAAATTTATCTAAAGATTAGTCGAATGGATAATAATTTGAAATGATATTAAGAAAGTTGAAAGTGTCTATGATTATGTATAAATATTGTAATCTGGAATCACGTTGCTCACATGAAGAGATGTGTAAAAAATAAAAATAAAAAAAACTTTGAATTTAAAAAAGAAAGGAAACTTTCTCGACTGCCGCCCATCTCCCTCTGGCTGATGTCCTGCAAACACCCCGTTTCCAAGGTCTAAGTCCCAACCCTTGCAAACACAGTGTCTGGGCAGATTTCTATCCCCCCAGTGACCCACAAAAGGAAAAGAGATCAGAACTCCGTAGTTAGCTTTTATAATTATATGGAAATAAATAGAATCTACAGGAGGAGCAATTTCCAAGGGCAAAAGTGGGGAAAAGTAACCTATGCACCTGGAAAGAAGGAGGGCTACGGGGTGAGGGGGAGGTCTTTGGAGAGCAGAGGAGAAACTCATTCAGCAACACATGTTGCTTAGTGTGGGATTTATTGCACTGCAATTCTCTAGGCTTTTTCACTGTAATGTGCATGCAAAACTGCTGTCCATAACCCCACTAGTTTTAAAGCAGAACCCAAATTGAAAAAGGCCCAATGGATTAATTTGAACGCCTCCTTAACTTGGAATGAGTTTGAGGCTTCAGGCATATAACCGTGTCATAGCTGTAAGAGCCTCCAGTTTATGACTGACCTGAATGAAATGTTGCAGGGGGCTAAGCTAGCCATTTTTCAGATGAACAGAGATTTTGTCCAGAAATAATTGGGCAGAGTGTGAGCTTCAGAGAAGAAAGCCCTTAATTTCCCATTTTGCTCCCTCGTGCAATATTTGTGGCCCAAAGATCCCATCCAGGATGCTGCTGGCAAGGAGCCAGAGATTGGCCCACCATAACCTCCCACACCAAGAGACAGCGCAGGGAAGACCCTCCGCTCCTGACTGCAGAGAGAGGATCCTGCTCCCTCCTCCTATTTGCCCAAAGTTTGGGATTTGCCCTGTGGCCACTTGGCCCTTGTAGAAAAGGCAGGTGAAAGCACCCGCTGCCCCCCTTTGTTAGGCGGGGCGGCAGGAACGTTTTCTTACAGGAAGTCCAGTTGGCACCAACTTCCTCCAGCAGACAATGGCAGGGAGGCAGGTGACTCAGGCACAACTTGCAGACCTCACCCGAACAGGCTGAACCGGTTCAGGACTGGTTGGCCCATCCCACCCGATCAGATTTCACTGAACATCCTCTCATCCATGGGAGTTCATGGGAAGGGCAGACATCACCATTCTCAGCTGGCTCTAGCCCAGGAAAAGGCTTTCTTCTGCCCCCAACCCTGCCAGAAGACAAGATTCCCCCCCCCTCTTGGGGATTCAGCCAGGACAACACAACCAGCAGTGCATAAAGCCCTGATGGGCACAAGAGAGGCCTGGCGAGAGGCTGCCATCTTCGTACCTGCCCACCCCACTAGCAGAGCGAAGGCAGTCCAGCAAACACTCCAGACCGGGCTTCAGGAGCGTATCCAGACCGGGGGGGGGGGGGGGAGGAGCTACCAGGCTAGTGCCCGTCTAGCTGGGCAGAAAGGAGGCCCTCATCTCCCAGACCCAGCAGCCAAACGTGGCTGGGAAAGACGCGGGGGGGGGGGGGGGGGGGGGCCCCCGACAACCGGGGCGGGGTGGGGGGGGGGGGCTAAAGCGAGCCGCAGCCGGCCGATCTTTTCGGGTGGGGCATGTCAAGGCCAGCCTGCGCTGTAGAGACCAGGGCATTGGCAGTGGCCCGGACACAGCGCAGGAACCCGCCCAACGATCCGCAACCAAGCCTGGCCACCGTGTTTCAAGCTACAAAGGGACGGGAGGAACGCCTCTTCCTCAAGGCCGGCTCAGGGGAGCAGCACGGGGCGCGAATTCTTACCTGGCGGCGACTCTGCGGCCGCCAGCGCAGCCGCCAACGTGATCAACAGCGCCAGACTTTTCTCGCGCGTCATCGCAACGTCCTCCCGGGCCAAGCTGCCCGCTGGGCCACAACGGCCGCCGAACACCACAGGTGAACCACGCCCACCGCTCTCCGGGCGCCAATCACGGGGACCGACGTCTATCGCACCTGTCTGCCCACCTATTTTGCATAGACTGCGTAGCAATCACGTGGTGGCGGGGCGCCCCACCGGCTGCAAAGTGGGAAAGTCCCGGATGGAGAAACCTGCAAGGTGAAAGCGGAAGATGTAGCAGGTGCAGTCGGGGCGGGGCTACGGTGCGCACCGCTGCTCCTGGTTCCTTCTCCCGCTCGCGGTTGCCTGGTTCCGGGATGGCTTCTGTGGAAGCCTCATCCGCTTTCCGTTTCGCCGCCGCCGCCGCCGCCTCGACTTGGGAAGAGCGTGCTGGGATCGGCACAGGCCCCGGAATAAAAGCCGGAGTCCCTTCCCTTCGCCCCTTTTCCCCCTCCCGCTTCAGCATCCCAGCTTACCTTTTGCCGAAGCGCAGGTTGGGGGTCCCGCGGCCCCCTTTCGCGCTCGGAAAGCCGCTCTGTTGGAAGCGCGAGGGGTTCAGGAAGGCCGTCGCAGGGAGGCTTCCTGAAGGAGCCCCCCTCTTGGGAAGGGCGGGGTGTCGTTTCGACGAACGTGCTTGCATAAGGACAGAACGGCCCAGGTGGGGGGCTAGAAGGAAGGGGGCCGAGGCAGCGGGGCGACGAAGCCGCTCCAGAACGCTGCGGCAGCTTTCTCAGCCGGAGTCCGAACCAAATGACCCGAGCAGAGAAGGCGGCAGCAACTCGAAGGGGCAAACCCCGACTTTTCCCAGAGGTGGGGCAGAGACGGGTGAGGACATTGGAAGGCAAGCCCTTCGCAGGCCGGCGCTAGGAGAGAAGGGCCGTGCCGACCACCCATTAAAAGGGGCCGGGGAGGGGAGCGGGCGCTAACAGTTGGCGGAATGCCGGGCCCAAATCTTAGTAACCCGCGTGACTTCAGAAAATGCTAAAAGAGCGAGGAGGGGGAAGTGGTCAGGCGACCGCACATTGCTGGAAGGCGATTAGAGCCGAGGCTTCGGGGATCCAGCTCTGGAAAAGAGAGGCCCGCGAGGCCGCCGATCGGCTCCTGCCCGCCAGAGCGGGCCTTCGAGCCTCCATCTTTCAGGGAGGTCCACAAGAACGGCCGGGAGGCCGGTTGGGCCCCGCCTCTGCCCCCAGAGCAAGACGGCCCTCCACCCCGAGGGAGGGTCTGGGAGCAACACAGCTCCGCCCCGGCTGCTATAAGGCGCTGGAAGCCGGCGGACGCCCCGTCTAGCTGGCGGAACGAAGGATGGCGGCGGATCGGGTGGGGAGGCGCTTGGGGCGTGCGTCGCCGGCCCGCTCTACCGGTCTCTCTCCCGGAGGCAGCCGCGCGGAAAGGACAGCCAGCCCGGGCATCCAGAGGCGCCAAGCGCGGGTCACGGTTAAGTATGACCGACGGGAACTGCAGCGTCGCCTTGACACAGAAAAGTGGATCGACGGCCGGCTGGAGGACTTGTACCGAGGACGGGTGAGGGGGATGCCAGTTGGGCGAGAGGACTCGAAGTCTTGTCCTTTGGGGGGACCGCTGCTGCCCTCATCCAGACCAGCCCGCCCGGGACACAGCAACTCCCGTGGCCAAAGGCAGCTGCGGTTTCACTCAGCTTCCTGGCCTGGTGGGAGAGAGCCAGGCCAGCTGCCTTCCAATTCTGAACTGGTTCTTGGAGGCCACGATGGGGTTAACATTAAGGCTGCTTGGGACCCCTGCCCCTCCCTCCCTCCCTCCCAGCTGCTAGTGCTCCCCCGGGGACTGGGGAGCCATCTGCCTTGTTGGGAGGCACATCTGTCTTTAAGGGTGCCAGGAGGCCCTTTAGTTGCAGCCTTTTGATAAGTGGTGGCCTTGGTCCACAAGGGTGGTTGCTGCTTGCTGCTGGTTTTGCTTTTAAAGGCTCAAGAGCCTGAGAGAGACTTGTGGCGACTGCTAAGAGGAGAAGCTGCACCCAGAAATACGAGGGACTCTGGGCTGCGGGGCCTGTTGCCCTTGGTCACCCCATTCAGCCATCTTTCCAAGAACCAGATATTTGAGCCCTGGTTTTTCCTGGAATCTCAAGGTTAAATTCAGAAATGTCCCACTCACTGAATGCACGGGAAGACCCTGTCTGGGTCACGGAGCAGGCAAAACTGAGCAAGAGATTGGCTCCTATTGAATTCAGGCTGGAATGATGGGAGCTGCATGCCCAGCTACCAGAGGGCCGTTATTTGCCCTGCTCCAAGGTTCTTTCAGGTCCCAGGGCCCCTTGCTTGGCTTGGAAAGGACCTTGCCAGGATCACAGAAAAAGTGGCAGATGGGCTTGCAGAGAAGGGTCATCCTCCTCCTTCTCCTCTCTTCCCAGGGAGGAATGTGTATCTCCGCCTCCAGTTGCTAACATTTTCTTGCCTAGAAAGGATGTGTGGGGGTGGGGAGCCTGTCCTAGCTATAAAAGGGACGTCTCCAATCCTCCCATGAAAGGAGCGAGTTACCATCTGGGTTGCTTTTTTGCCTCCCCTGGGAGTCCGAGAGGGGAGCAGCTCAGCCGGCAGGCCAGCTCTTCTGGGGGAAGCAAGCCCTGGGCTGGAACATGGTGCTCGGTTGATGCTCTGATCCAGAGGCTTCTTGGTGTGAGGGGCAGCAGTGTGTGATCATCCCCCCCGCCCCCGCATATTTACAGGGCGGTTTCAGATAAAAGATTTGCACTGGAGGCTTTTAAGAAGAGACTGGACAGCTATTTGTCTGGAGTGGTGTAGGGTCTCCTGTTTGAGTTGGAGGTTAGACTAGAAGACCTCCAAGGTCCTTTCCAATGCTGTTATTCTGTTAAGGGGTACAGATGGAACCAGGCTCTTCCAACTGGATCAATTACTTACTGCATGGTAGGCAGAATAGGAGCAATGGCATAGGGGTACTTATGTCCCCAGGAAAAGCAGCAACCACGTCTCTGGGATGTTGTGGGGTGGGATGCTCTTCATCTGGCTTAAAAAGCGGGATACAGGTGGGTTTTGAAAACTTTGAAAGCTTTGTTGTTCTAGATCAGGGGTGTCAAACTCACGTTGTCACGGTGACATCACGTGACATATAGGAACTCCCCCCCCCCTTTGCTAAACCAGGTGTGGGTGTGGCCAGCACGTGATGCATCTGGCCTGTGGGCCGGCAGCTTGACAGCCCTGTTCTAGATGTTTTCGAACTATGAAATGCTTCACTGAAGATCCTGGGCTACTGTCAAAAAGCTTTGAGACCCCAGAGCTCCAGTTCCTAACTCTTGTTCCAAGATCCCCCTAGCTTGACCCTTTTTGATTTTGTGTCAGGAAGATGAGATGCCAGATGAAGTCAATATCGATGATCTCCTAGAGATGGACACAGATGAGGAGAGGGCCAAGAAATTACAGGTAAGCTGCCTTCACATGACCAGGTCTGCTGACTCAGAGGCAGGAATCCTCAAGGCACCCTTGACTGGGTCCTGTCAGCAGGAATGGAAGGGAGGTGAAAATATTGAGTTTATAAACCTGGCAGGGACAAAGCAGTTGCAGCATTACAGCAGAGTGAACCAGGGGGCTCTTATGCAGACAGAGCACCATTGCACACAAATTCTGAAGAACTTGCTACTCTAAGAAGTGAAGCTCTTCTTCAGAACCAAATGATCAAATGAGCCTTAATGCTCATTAACAACATGCTGGTACTAATTTCTGAGAACCAAGAATGATGCATAGATTTATCTCTCCCTGCACTATTTGTGGCATTAGCCTTGGCTGTGCCATTTTGTTAATAAATGGAAATTAGGATCTGAACAGAATAAGAAAAGGGAACCGGGGATCTGTGTTCACTGTGAAAGAGAAGGTTGTAAATTAGATCTGGGGGCAGGGAATCTGAGCCATGGGAAGAGATTTTCCTGGTTTAGTTCAAGAGTAATCCTGGAAAAGAGGCTGCACATTAAAAGGGCCAGACGAGTAAATGCTGGGCCACCCATCCTTTGGGGCTGTTCCTCACTGTAATTTTTTTCTAGGGCACCTTGGAGTCATGCCACAACAACACGGAGGTGGGTGTCCCCTTTCTGAGCACTGGGTCCTGTGGAATGTGCATGTCCGCCAAGGGTGGGGTTTGCTTTCCCAAAGAGATGCCCCGCTTCCAGCTGCTGTGGAATAGTTGAGGAAAGGCACCCTTTCACCCTTTGGGCTCCCCGGCCTTCTTCCCACCCCATGACTCCCTGAGGAGGCTCCCTTGCAATTCCTGGGATCTGGTTGCTACTGATCCTGGGAGTCCCTATTGGAGGGAGATCCCTTTCCTGGCAGGGTTCCCCCAGGGCCAGACCTCTTCTCCACCTTACTGGAGAAGAATGGTGGGACTCAACCTCCCCCCACCCCCCAGGACTTCACCAGAGAGCTGCTGGAGAAGCTGAGAGGCCTCCGGACAGAACATGTTCTCCGCCGGACAAGTCCCAGCAGCCAGAGGAACATGGACCAGGGTCCCAAAGTCCCACAGTGACCATGACGCTGGAGAGCTGCAGAGAGGGCTGAACTGTGGAAGAACTTGCTGCCACCTCCCTGACTCCACTAGGATGGGCTGGCTCCATGGCTTCAGCCACCTTCACCCTGCTGGGAAGGTCTCCTGGGCCCTTTTGAACCTTTCTCTCTGATGGAGGAGGATGGGCTCTGCTGGGCCACCTCCCCATAATAAAGTGCTCTGCCCCCCAGAAGCTCAACTGTTGCCTCTGCCAGAGCGGGGTGGGGGAGACGGGACCTTAGGATGACTGGGGCCCTTGTGAGAGAGAACCTGGCCAGGAGAGGGTTTGCCCCCTGTGAAGCTTTCTGGGCTTTTGTGGCCATCACCCAGAAGCTGTGTCTGGGTTTGCATGTTCTTGGGTAGGTTTTCTCCGGCTCGGAATGTTTGGCACATTATCTGCCTGATTATCCAGGGCCATGAAAACTCAGAAATGGCTTCCTTGTCCAATCTACCCATCAGCACCCCCTCTTTAGCCAGTGAGTTAAGGTGAAGGCAGCAGGCTTTACTAGAGACTCACAGCTGTGACGCTAGCTGGGTCAATTCACTGTGGGACAACTCACTGCAGGACAAGAGTTACACTGATATCAAAGAAATGGTGGAATAGAATCATTAAAGAAAGGATGTAAAAGGAGGGACAGAATGAAACATGAACTGCAAAAAATTAAAACATTTTTTATTTATTTTAAATAATTAAATAGAATAGTTAAACTGTCCTGCAGCAAGTTGTCCCATTCCGACCCGCCAGCCTTTCCCCATTTCAGACAACTTCCTCAGTCAGACAGAGGCAATGAGTCCTTCTCCCCCCCACCCCCCAGCTGGGACCCAGAGGGTTTTTTTCCAGGTTAGAAGCTGCTTCAGGAGACAAGCAGCACTTTGTGCTTCTTCCTTGCCAGTGGAGTGGGGGTGGAGGATGTCTGCGTGGTCCACCAACAGGTGGGGGGGGGGCACATGTTTAGCCCACCTGCCTGCAACTGGGCCTGTGGCAGCCCTCTCAATCCAGTCCACCCTGGAGCTTCTGGATCCCCTAGCATTATCTGGCTACAGAAGGACTTCTCCCAGGCCCCACAGATGTTTGTGCACATATGGCTCCCCATGTGCCCCCCCCCCCTCCTTGCCATTACTGTCTCTGCAAGTCAATCTGTACCAGCTACTGCCTGCCTCAATCCAAGCGGGGGGGGGGGGGGGCTTTTCCCACGGGAGGGAGAGAGGGAGGGAAGATGCTTGCAAAGGGAGGCTGGGCCGGGCCCTCCCTCCCTCCCTCCCTCCCTCCCATGGCTGGTCCAGTAGACGCTGGAGCCGCTGGAGCTTGTGCCCTTATTTGGGAACAGGCAGAGGCTGGAGAGGGGAGGGACTTACTGGAGCCCTGGGTGGCCAACTCATCTGGGCCCCTTTGGCTTCCCATGGCCTAGAGATGCCCACAGCCCTACCCACCCCACACCCACCAAGAAAGCCCCCATCGCATACAAAACATGGGGGGGGGGGGGAACCCACCAGTAATATTCAAAAATTAATTATGAAATAGTATTAACAAAATTGAGGAAAACAGCCTTTTCAAAAATGGATATCACACTTCCCGAATACAATCTTTGCTACTGAGCACTTTTCCAATCTCTCTGTATAATTCTCTTGGCTATTCTGTACAACAAATAAACCCCTCAGAAAGACCCCTGTGATCAGGTCCCAGTTTCATAACGTAGTTCAAAATAACATTGACAAATGTAACTTGAAAACAGCCATCTGCATAATGTATGTTAAAATATTCCTCCAAAAAGAAACCCAAATTTGACAGTTCCTTCTTGGCACAAAACAACACTTTAATCCCAATCTGTATATAATGTTAATTGTATAACGTGCAATCCCAAAGTTAACATTGAATTAACTCACTTCATTGTCTTTTACACTTTATTGTTTTATAGTGAGGTGAATTATTGTTTCATGTCAGAATACAATGAGATTAAGTTTCTGTGAATGAATAAATGCATTTGGGCCAAACATAGTTTTTGCAAATGTTATGTTTTATTGCTCTTATGTGCTCTTGGCCACCCAGAGTTGCTGTGGTTAGAAGAGGTGGCTTGAGCATGTTCAGCATATTCAGGGGAAGGCTAGATGTAGTTTGTTCCCCAGATCAGTCTTGAGCCAAAATAGAAGGAAGCCCCAAATCACCAGCTGCAGCCTTGGGCGTTTGGGCTGTGGCCCTTCTCCTGTGCTTTGAAACGCTCTTGATACTCATTGCCTCTCAGTCCAGACCCCCAGTTTGGTGACTTCTCTGGTACCTGGGCGGGGCGCTTTGACTGCAAATTAAAAGCCTGCTCTGGCCCTGCCAAGCCTGCCCTGCCTGGCCCTGATCACATTCCTGTCGTGGCAGAGCTTTAACGGGAAGGGCCATGCTGACTCTCATGCCCTGTGGTCAGGAGTGGCCCTGGCTTGCCAGGTCCTTGCTTTCCCTTTCCTATAAGATCCCAGGTCCCAAAACAGGTTCCCTGCCTACTGGAGAACGAGCCTTTCCACTTCAAGGGGATCGCTTGCTGCTCAGGCTGTCCCTGGTTTCATTTGCAAAAGCTGGTCCTCCTGGTGACTAAAGCCACCTTTGCTCACTTCCAGATTCAGGAGCAATGCACAACCAGTGACCGTGGCCTCTGTTGCCTGGCGAGACACATGAGCAGAAGCCCGAGGGCAGCCATTCTCAGGGAGGCAAAAGGAGCTAGGAGGTCAAGCTTTGCCTTGTCACCTTAGGGTTATTGGCAATCCATAGACAGCAGGGAGTTCCAAAGGGATCTCTTACCAAAACTGATTTCAGACTGACGCCCCAATGAACCCTTGGGACCTGCTTCTCTGAGTTACAGCAGTGACCACCAACTGTAATTCCCCCCCCCCGGCCTATGCACAATGCAGCGTGCCTTTCCCCGGCTTCAGAAGCAAGCAGCTGGTTTGCTTGGGAAGACTGCTGCCCTTTGGCCAGGTGGGAGTCTCTCCCCTGCTTAGGCCCTGGCAATTGGGGCAGTGGGGCCTGTAAGCTGATCCAGCATAGCAAGTGGGGCCTATGAGCTGATGAGCTGATCCAGGGTGGCCGGGATGATGATTTTCTTGGGGCCTGCCTTGCTTTGCATCATAAACTGAGCTTTGGTGCAAATGGTTTCGCAGGCAGCCACTGATCTAGATCAGCCATAATGCTAATCAGGCAGCCACTGACCTGGCTATCTCTGCTGCAGAAGGACCTGTTAATGCCACCAGAAAGTGATGCTGACCCAGGACCTGGCCTTTCCTCGTTCCAACCTCTCTGGCTTTGGGAGCAAACTGAAGGTGTGCAGATGGGCACACAACCCCACTGTGCCTGAGCACCTCTCTTCTATCCCACCTGCTGCAAAGCCCAAGCCCCAGAGTGCCTGGGAGGACCTTCCAATGGTACCTGTGATGTCCCCAGGGGTCCTGCTTGCTGCCTGTTGCTCTCCAGCCCCCTTCCTTTTCTGCCTGATCAGAAAGAAAAGAGCTGTTGAGGAGAACCAGAGCGCTCCCATCCTGGGCTGAGAGAGGGGAGGCCTTCTCCACTCACCCTTGGAAGGCAATCGAAGGACGGTCTAAGCTGGAGAGGTCTGGTTTCCCTATCCCAAAGGGGCCCATCTTGGGCCTCCACCCTCCCTCGTGGTAATAATTAACCAGGGTAGACTCAAAGATGGGCATAATCTCCAGAGTGTGGAAATTCATCCCTGGCCACTCAGTTCTGGGTGGCTGAGGGCTCCCTTGTCCCAACCACAACACAATCTCATTCTGATTCAATCCCACCTGCTACCCTTTCTCCTTCCCCACGCTGAAACGGTGCTCTTAAAGAGCTCATGTGCTTTCTGCCCCAGGCCCTTAGCCTAGCCAAAGGATCTAGTTCTTCCTCCTCAAACCAAAGTTGTGCCCCAATTACAGTGCAAGCTGTGTCTGAAAGAGCCCCCTTCCCAAATTACCTCCTGCTGCCCAAAACCAAGAGAAGTCTGGCAGAAACTTTTCAGACTAGCACGTGTAATTAAGTGGTCAGCTTTGGTGAGCTAGTTTTCTTCATCAGATGGGTAAAGTCTCCATGTGCTCACCTGAAAATCCTAGCAGACACTAGAGGGCAGACTGGAGTCAACCATACATCCTATTTTCATCCCCCCACCCTGCCCCCCTGAAGGGACCTCAGGCACGCAGGCAATTCCCACCCTCCTGCTTTTAAATTCATTTCAGCAACGCTAATAAAGTGAGGGTCATATAATTCAGTGCGCTTTTTAGCTCCCCAGTTCAATGGGACAGCTACGTTCGCACTGAAGATAGACCTCTCTCGTACAGCAGGGCAGCAGGTCTAGAACATAGAGTCAAGGGCTGGAAAGGACCTTGGAGGTCTTCTAGCCCGACCTCCTGCTCAGGGTTTGAGTTCTGCTTCCTGTTCCATCCAAGTCCAGGATTCTTTCTTTGTAGAAACAGGATCCTGGGCTTCAACGTCACAGAAGCGTCAATTGTGGCAGTGAAGGTGGTCACCCCTTCTCTGGCATTTAGGGATGAAGGCTCCATGGAGCTGGCTGTCGCCGTCCTGGGACCTTCTCGAAGAATTGCACATGGTCCCACTGTTTCCCATTGAATTATTGGTTTTGATAAAAACTGATTTTTTACATTTTATTTTTTGAATGATTTATTTTGTGAAAATGACCCATCAGAGGCATGAAGGTGGGAGAGGGAAGGGAGAAGAGATCACTGTGGCCTGAAATCCTATTTTGGGTTTCTCACCATTGTGTTGCCAGGCTGGCTGCCATGATTCATTCACCCAGGATCTTCCCTGGGAGAGGGGGAGGACGCCAGGTGAGTGACCCCTCCCACACCCTTGCAAGAACTTCCAACCCACAGCAGAAGGAGCTGGGGGGGGGGGGGCTCTTTGGAGTACAGCCTAGCCTTGGAGTAGTCAGTCAAGCCCAGGCTGCCTCTGGCCATAAGTGGCCCTTTCCAAGCCCCGCACAAATACCCTAATCTTTGACCTGCAATAAGGCAGCAATAGTCTCACTGGATTCCTCTGGGAGCAATTCCATCACAAGAAAGGCCACCCACCCAGAAGTGTATTTAGTCCATTGTAAATGTTTTGTTTCTAAAAGGCTGGGATACAACAAACTCACAACACCAGGAGGGCAACAGGGGTCCCCACCTCTGCAGCTGCCATTGGGGAAGCAATGGGTTAGGAGATCAGGA